ATAAATAGTAATCTAAGAGCCAATTTCACCATCGTTAATCAGCTTGGACCAATCGGAAAATACCTTATTGAAATGCAATTTCTATTGAAATATTGAATAAAATCATGAAAAAGCGATTGTTATATAAATAGGAACACTTTTTGATTCCAACATGATACTTTTGTACAGAGAAAACACGACAACTTTCATCTATTTTGATTTCTCTTATAAATTTACATTTAACAAACCGTCATCCCTTAGCCAATGGAAGTGCGAGAAATAATAGTTCGATTTTCTACCTGTTAAATTTAATAGCAGGTTTGGACGTTTGTTAATGCATGGCAATCTCGAATTTGTTAAGTTAAATATACTGAGTGTTTATATGTTAATATTATAGCTACATACCTGTTGAATAGTGCGGATTTGTCTGCGTTTAGCACGAAAATAGAATATAAAGTACATTCCAACCAGTTCCTCATCTTCCTTTACATCATAGTAGTAATCATTTATTAATTTATGGGTTAATGAATTTCTTCAAAGCAATAAAAACATTATGTGCTTTCCATACTAAAACACAGATATTATGTGGAAGATGTATCAATCCCTACATCTCCGTGATGCATAATGCAATTACTATGGACACAGACAAAAAATTATAAAAAAATTCTCACAACAATATTTGAAAAGTGTGAACACCATCATGGTCTGTTGTTCCTTCAAATTTCAAATGAAGTATCTGGAAATTCTTACATACAGTGGACCTTCGTCATAGTTCACTATTCTGATTGTGATCATCTTTGGCACATGTGTTGGATCATCAAATTGATGAACAAATATAAGAAAGCTCTGATATACCTACGTACAGTGGATTTTTCATGAAAATTTACTAGGTATCATGATTATAACCACCTTCGGTAGATTGTTCGATCCGGAATGGGAAGGATACATAGATACAGGCCAAGCTTATGAAAGCGAGTCAAAAAGGACATTCAAAAATCTAGAAATTCACCTGATGATGGGCTGAAAAGGAACATGTACATACATAAACGCAAATCTAAATTATTTTATGATTGTGGTATATTTGCTCATCTATCAGCTACTTATAATTTATCAGTTTGACCTACTTTCAGTCTAAAAATATAATACGAAGACCTTGATATCAGTCTATTTATACTGTTCCAATGCCTGAAATAAATTGTCGTATAAAATATCTCATACCTACCTTGTGTACTTATCGCCTTGCTTACAGACAAAACAGTGCCAAAATATTTGATGTGAGAGAGGAAAGGAAATGTTTCCACCTCATTGCAAACACCTGAAATCATAAAAGAACACCCGGCTGACATAAAAACCCTTTGATGAATATTTCACTCCAAAACGCCCTCGCAAACAGCGCCCCGAAAAATATCTCTGTCGAATGGTAATTTCTCGCTTTTCATTTAAATGATTCTTTAATAATACATCAGGACATGTATGTTTTTATAGGTGTCCTTCGTACAGACCGAGACCTACCGAAAAATCTTTCTTAGATCATTTGTTGGCCATTTACGTTATTTGCGGTGTTGCCAGATATCGCATAAACTCCTGAAATTACACAATTAGAGCCGAAACAGTAGCCCAAAACTATTTAGGAAGAATAGTTCTTTTAAGCAACTCTTCGCGTACTGAATTAACCAAGAAGAAACACATGTTCGGCCTCTTCCAATCACTTATAAACATGTTTTTACTCCCTGTTGGTCTGGTAGATAAGTTACATAGCTTGATACTAACTAGCTTAGTTACAAATAACATCACCACTCAGAATATACGCAGTTTCAAACGTTATGTGATGAGTTTCTCTAGAGCTTATAGAAACTTACTGTAGAAAGTAATTCATGTTGGTAGTTAGGTAGAAATATAATTCTCAAAATATGTCAATAAAAAATCTGGTTAGAAACCTGGAAGAATTTCAAGATAAAAGGTCCACATTTATTTTCATGAGCTCCGTAGTTTTTATCAAAAACCACTTCAAGATGGATATCAAATTCTAGAGGTCTAGGAACTTTACTAATCCCAGATTCAGCGTCGAAAAATTCATAGGAATATCACGATCTGTCTCAAATATCTCGGCTTTTATTTTCTTCTGGAGCTTTCTAATGGTCATACTACTGGCACTTTGCACAAAAGGTGTACATATATAAATTTAGAATTATAAATATACAGGGTGTTTCAGTTTATTGTTGCATAACTTTAAGATTCGATAGAACTTTTAAAATTAATGCATAAAGTCTATATAAACATGGGTCGAAGAATGCCTGGCTTCCGAAATACAGGGTGATTAAATTTACTTTCTAAAATAGTTTTTTTTTAATATTTCGAACAATATTTGATGTATAACAGTGAAAATTGGTATACAAGGGTTTTTTGGTACCATGGGCATAGTTTTTATGTTTGTCCTAACTATCCAATAGCATTTTAGTTGTAAATAATTAATTTAATTTGTTAAAAATAATATTGGAAAATTAAACAAATTAATATTCTGTTTTTTGTGTTTATTTGGAGTTAGGAATTATTGCTGTGTTTAAAAACACAATCTAAACGATCATCTTAATTACTTGTAATGCCCAAATCGAAAATGTAAAAAAAATATTATTTTCCCATGAATAATTAAAAATGCATCGAACCTAAAAAATCGAAATAACTCAAAAAACGGCTAACTATAACGAAAACTCACAGGAGAGCTTTTTTATGTTGAAAAGTGCGGAGAATCAGTATTTTTATTCAAAAAGCAAAAAATTGCACTAAGAAAAATTTTTCGGTCATTTCAATACACTACAGGTACAGTAGAGAGCGCCCTCTAGCGGCTACAGTAAAACTATGCCCATGGTTCGTTATGCCGTACCAAAAAACCCTTGTATACCAATTTTCACTGTTATACTTCAGATATTGTTCGAAACATTTTAAAAAAACTATTTTAGAAAGTAAATTTAAACACCCTGTATTTCGGAAGTCACGCATTTTTCGACCCATGTTTATATAGACTTTATGCATCAATTTTAAAAGTTCTATCGAATCTTAAAGTTATGCAACAATAAACTGAAACACCCTGTATAGTCGTAGAACTCTTGTTCTTGTAAAAATGTGCAAGCAAATCTAGAAGCAAGATTTCAACATGCAAAAAAAGAAACGTAAGGATCATTCGCGAAGAATTTTAGAATTCCTAATACATATCCATCTAGTCCATAATCCGGTGCAAGCATAATGCGGATCGGTGGACGAGTATCGTTAACTGATTTCATATTTTCCACACTATTTCTGGTTCCAAAGTGGGAGTAGAATTCCATCAGTCATAAATATACAGGGTGGCGCATCGAAAATAATATTCTGGTCCATTGGTTGAATCAGCGCAGTGCAATTCGGCGGAAGAAACATCGCAGTGATGCATTTATCCTCAGTTGTTAGTTCTTCTTCAGACGGATGACCGGAAGCAACATCGCTTTTTGAGGAAAATTGTGATTTTTTAACCATTTTCTAACTTCAGGTACGAAGAATTCATCAAACCACTCTTTGAAAAGGTCTTTTGTCATCCAAAATTTATTTCTTTTGTTTTTGCCTAAATGTCAGCTATGTTGCAATATAAATATGTATTTATGTAATATTTACCAATTATTAAATTAGTTTTTTCGTTGCCATGACTAATTATTCATCAATTCGCTTAAATTCGCAGTACATTTCCTATCATGTGACAAATTTTTCAGTTTGATTTTATTAAAAAATGGCACAATTTATCGATATTCAATTAGGGTACATTTTCTATGTAGAAAACCCTAAGTTTTCAAATTCTAAAATTGAATTTCATGAATAGAATCACACAAAAATCCGTTCCTGTTACATATGCTCCCAAACAAAACTGTCTAAAATTGTTAATATTTTTAAATCCAGCATAAAAAAACTAGGCTAGGATACCAAATTTTATGTCTTTATCTCAACACGTTTATAATAATATTAAGGAAAAACCATCTTCACGGGAGCCCCTTTAAAAGACCGTAGCGCCCGTTTATCGACCTATGCTTATATAAACTTTTCTCCCTATTTTAAGCTCTAGAAAGCGCTGGTAGAATATTGCACACTTTTTTCGGGACAACCTGTATACAAACTGTTTATCCAAATCCAAGAGTGGCCACCAAGGTCCCCAGACTTCAACAGTTTAGATTTCTTTTTGTGGGGCTATCTTAAGACACTAGTGTACACCCGTCTCATTAACACTGTAGAGAGATTAAGAGAAATAATAGTTGCACCGAGTGCGCAATTCCATGAGGAGGAGGAGGAGGGTGGAAGCATGCATACTAAGTGAAGGGGGCCATGTTTGTAATCATTTCGTTGGTTTTAATGTTATATTTATGTTGTCAGTCGTTGTTGTTCATTACCCCTAATATGTTTAATTTTCCCAATGAAATTAATAATAATTTTGCAAGTTAGACAATAGAACGGTTTTTATTTTTTTACTCAAAAATGGCTCATCGAAGGAAAACAATTCAGATGAGATCATTTGTTTTAAATTGAACAGGGAATTCAGAAGTATTTTTTATTTAGCAAAAAACCATTGGCGTACCATTTTTTCTTAAAAAATATCGAATTCAATACCCGTACGCACGCCACTGTTCAAGCTAAAAATTATTTTTGCATTGAAAAATATGCAACATTATCAACCTCCACTACGTACTAAATATCATTGAAATATCTGAAGCGGTTCTGAAAATATTAATTAATTTCCATTTTTTTCCTAAAACTTCAACACCCCGAATTTTGGCCCATAGTTTATAAAGCAAAGTAACATTAATTTCCCATTCAGATTCACACCCTTAAATATTCGCATATCATCAAGGCACACCCTGTATATTTTGTGCCAAGACTTATACGTCAATATGCCAGGACCACCCAACACTAACCGATAAAGTTGTCAACTTTTAAAAAGTGTACCCATAAACGAATCACAAATTGCTACATCGACTGGCCTACAAGCGCATCATCTAAGTACTTACACGACGATGTGATAGACGAAGCATTTCCAATTATCCGGCCTTTCTAGGAAGTTGTAGACCTGTCCCTGGAAAGTGGCCCTTCCGGCGATTTTGCGGTGCTGTTTGGACGCGTACCGAGCCGCCTCGCCCCATTTCGGAGGGCTCTCTATCAGCAGGGCCGTAGGGTTGACGGCTTGGCAACATGTCGCGCTTATACCGGAAGCTGAAACAAGAAATACTTTTTTTCGTACAAGCTTCGACAGCGATCTTAAGCTGCTTGCCAGTCGGCAGTTTTGTGCAGTCAGCTGAGCACCTCCGCGTCTATATGCAGTGGACAGTTCCCTGATAGCATTAAATATTTTTTTAAATTTACCCTTTACGAAAGTATACAGAATTTTCACAATTCATATACCGTTACTTGCTGGTTCTAGATCTGATGCTAGTATCTTTGCTTAGATTTCTGTTGCAATCTTGGTTATTCAGGGTAGCAAGAGCATACAAGCTCATGTATTTTTGAAACTGTTTTTTTATTTAAATTGTACTTAAGGTTGTTTTTAATTTGTAAGTTATATTGGTTTCTGAATTTGAATAAACTTTGAATATACTTTGAAAAAAGAAAAATGTTTGTTACGACAGATTTTTTAATATTTAATTAATATACGAGGTCCTTCCCACTTCAGTTGGCCCACCTCAAGATTTTTCTTATGTATTCAAAAAATATTCGTTATAGATATTTGTAGTAAATATAATTCATATATTTTTCCGACATTTTTCCTAAATATTTAGTAAATATATGATTAAAGATTTTTTAATAGCAATTTTATTTTCTGAAGAAATATCTAATATTTTTCGTATGTATGGATTTTCAAGCATTAATCTGATACAAGTTTTCAGTGCATATAAAAAAACTCTTCATTGGTTATTTTAGCAAAATCTGTAGGAATACTTTTATAAAATTGGGCTTATAAAGAAAATTCATTCTAGATATAATGGTTTAATTTGCTAGAAAAATATCATTAAAAATATTCTAAGCCACATACACTCATCTGGAAAAAAATGACTAATTATGAAGTATTATTGAATGCATAAGCTGCTTTCCAGTTGTCTTTTGTTTGAGAGAAATATTCTTCCAAACTACTCTAGAAAGTGTATTTATGGGAATATAAAATGCACTAGAACAATACTGGTGTTGAGCACTGCTGAATTACTCCGAGTAGCTCTATAATGCACCTAGAAGGACCCCACATTTTTTTCCTGTGGGAGTTCGAGATTTGGTTAATTTTTACGAAAATCTGGTATATTCTTCTTCTTCTAACCCTGGCACGACCATCGTGCATGCCTAAACAAAATCGAGTCTCGTCACTAAAGACAATACTGTTCCATTCCTGATCCCAGAGTGACCGTTGTCTGCACCACTTAAGGCGATTGCGTCGGTGTTCTTGAGTTAAAGGGAGGACCCAGTGTGGCCGGTATGAAAACAAGCCAAAACTTCTCATTCGTCGGTAAACACTTCGCATGCCAATAGGTCTTCCGTGTTCTGCAAACCATTCATTTGCAATAGACCTGGTAGTGGAGAAACGGTCCCTTAAGGCCAATAATCTTAGGCGGCGATCTTCATGGTCTGTTGTTCTACGGCGGCGTCCAGTGCCCCTTGCTCTTTGCGTACGGCCTTCTCGAAGCCATGCCTGACAACACCTAACCACAGTGTCTACACTTCTTTGCATTCTAACTGCAATTGCCCGAAAAGAAGGTCCAGCTTCCCGAAGTTCCACTATACGGCCCGTATCAAACTCACTAAGTTGACGAAATCGTACGGGTTTTCGTACTCTAGGCATCGTAGCCGATGTCAAGAACCAAAATCCGCCAACGTTGATTCTTTATTGCGGCTGAAATATTCATTTTTAGAGCGTTAGTGAATTAAAAAAAACAGTATAAAGACCGGAATGTCCAACTGATAAGGCTGAAAATTTGTTCACTTGTTATTTACAGTAAGATAAATACATTCACCAACTTTTATTAAAATAAAACCATTTAAACTGGGTGTTTGGATTTATATGTCACTTAGTGTATTTTAAAGAATATTTTAAACACCTCATTTTAGAGCAAATATGTTGCAGAAAGCAAATTTGCATTCCACACAACATTAAGCCAGCATTTTGGTGTTCAGGCAACAACAATAGAGAGCTTTTATGGCTGAATGGTTCGTTTAACAGAAGCTTATAGCACTACTTTCCTAGTTGGGATATAATATGAAACACGAAATAGAAACAACATTTGTTATAATAACTACCGTCTAGAAAAATCAAGAGTTGGAACAACCTTTTATGGCATTAAATTTTTTAATCTGCTGCCCAACACTATAAAAACATTGGATATTGATATTTTTTGGTAATTATGGGTTACGCAGCATTGCATTGTTTTTAACTTGTTTTATTCATGTTTGATGTACATTTTTCTAAGCGTTCTATTAGTATATATTGACTTGTGTAAACACTTTCTGTATATTAACATCAATAAATTATTATTATTATTATTAATTAAGTGACACCGTCTATATGCAAACCCAACCTTGGACAAATTTTCTGTCTGCCGTAACAGCTCCATCAGACACCCTGTCAGACCGGGGGGCTTGAAAACTCCCGAACAACTAAATTTCTCGCGATCGATAATAACTGAAATCCAGATGTTGCGTGAGCGTTCATAATTAGGCCGAATGTATTTTGCATCGTCCCCCACGTTTCCATCGAAAACGTTCCTGAAAGTATTTTCTTTGCACGTGTACCCAGCACATTATGCACATCGAAAGCAGCCTCCCTTTTTCGGATAATTTTTGTTCGATTCCCCCTGTCGCCTCAAAGATAACTGCGTATAAAAGATGAAAATGCTCGAGAAGTGCCGCTTTTATCTGTCAGGAGGAGGGAAAACTCAGATTATAGGAAAGGTTCTTATATCGTGAGGAGTTAAAGTCACGACGCGAAGTTTTTCACTTTTTGAAATATGGTGGATGTGCTATGCAGCTTTAGGTAGCATACATCATGACACATTCACCAGAATTGGAAATTATAGTCAGCGCCAAACAAAGTGGCGTGCACGTCATCAAGGTGGGTGTGTTGAAAAATTTACATTGTTGCCAAACTTTTTGTAAAATAATAAAATTTATTATTTACATATCTAGGTTTATAAGTAATATTAACCTCAAATGAGAACAAAAATAATAGTATAATAAAAAATAAAATAAAATAAAGTTAGTCGGAGTTTCTTTCTTCAGCGCTGTCTGAATCTGAATCTTCATCACTCTCAAAGTTGATTATTAAAGGTTCGATGTCTGGTCGATCAAAAATTCGTTCTCTTTCATACCATTTAAAAATTTCTTGCTCAGTATGTCGAACACTATTTTTCCACATGTCTGGGGTAACCGTTTGTAGAGCCTCGTTCCACATATCCAAACAGTCTTTTTCACTGTTACCATCTCTACCAATATGTCTGTTATAGTAACCTTTTGCTATGCCCCAAATTAACTCAATAGGGTTAAATATACAATGGTAAGGAGGCAGACGAAGAACTTTGTGCCCATGTTGTTCCGCCAATTCATCAATCACGTATATTTTAGGTGGTTTGTTTCTAAAAAAGCAGTTATTTTAAGAATAGGAATAAACAAAAGAAATATAAACTGTCGACCAAAATATATATAATTAAGAAGCATTATGTTCCGAGCAACAATACTCAATAGCTCTGTTTTAAACATTGTGTTTAAAAATGGTATGTTTTGATTTGTCAACCAGTCTTGGATATTTTTTTTTGTCCATGCATTGTTGGGCACTTTCTTCAATATCATGCTGTGATAAGTGGCGTTATCCAGTATAATCATAGATGGACTCTCCAATTTTTCTAATAACTGATGTTGAAACCATTTAAAAAAATTGTCCTGGTTCATCTCTCCATGGTAATCGCTCAATTTTGTTTTCGAAGAAAATATCGCTTCACTACCCTCAATAAACCCATTTTCATTTCCAGCATGTAATATAATGTATCTAAAATATATTAGTTTTAAATTTTATAGTGCAAATTGTGTAAAAGTACATACCTTTTACCATCTGTTTTAATAGCTTTCACGCTTTTTTGGTTTCCATTTTGCCAAGAGCGACCTATGGTCCCATTTTGAAATATCCAAGTTTCATCGAGGAAGACAAACTGGTATAAGGCCTCAACCTTGGCTTGATTGTATTGCCTTAGAAATTCCACCCTTTTCAAAGCTATACTTGATAGTTCCATGAGCCCTCGTCGCGGATTGTCCTTAAGCCACTTAAATCCAAGATCTCTAAGCAACCGCCTTAAAGACGTGGCACTACCATCAAATAATGCCCTATCTCTTAATCGAGACCATAAAGTTTGTATCGTAACTTGTTCTTCTGAAACCATGTGTAATATGACATTATAATTTAGTTAACAAATTAATGCAAATTTCTGATAAGTTATTATAATAAGATCTTACTTTTGTGATACATAGATCACTTCTCGAATGGCACTTGTATCCAATGTCGCTGTGTTGGTTACACATTTAATATAACTCCGCTTTTTCTTGGGCGATTCTAAATTTGCATCACTTTTCACACCCTCGGAAATACGACTAACTGTCCTTAAACTAATTTTTAAAGCAGCAGCAACACGCTACAAAAAATGAAATAAAATTTCACTATTATTAATATACATTACATATAATTATTAGTAACCTACCTCTTGAACAGCATTTAAAGGCAACAAAGGCCCGTTGTTGTCCCTTTCTTGCTCAAAGTAGTGCATTAACGAGGCCACGAGTTCCTTACACCGACTATTTAACTGTTTGGGCATCTTTATATACCAAAATTGCCTTTATCTACTCGTAAAATGAATAATTTTGTTTTGAAACAAACAGTTGTTGATTTACAGTATGCGGGGCCAAAGGATTTATAAAGATTTGAAATGCCACAAATTGATTCAGTGTCAAAATTAATACAAATGTCAGTTCCCAGTTTAAATAAGTTTCAAGGTGACAATGTGTCAACGCTGCGAAATCGGTTTAGTGCGTTTACATGTCGATAAGTGATTGGAGCGTTTGCAAAACATTTTATTTCGCATAATGCGTCTAAATTTATCAGAAAGCAACTTATGTGATATTTTAATAACAATGTTTATATGACTATTAACCATAATAAGAGAGTAATGACCATTTTACAATTTATATATCACATTAATATGAAACTGCAATAGAGCAATTGTTTGTGATAGAAACCTAGGCATTAGGTCGGGGAATTTTTATCGTGATGACGTGCACGCCACTTTGTTTGGCGTTGACTATAAACGTATTTGTGTCAAATAATGATTGTTATACAGGGTGTAAACGTTATGATAGTCATTATTTGAATGGGTGATACGGGGGGTTGAAAGAAGCAAAAATTTTAATATAACATGGGGGTCAAAACGGTATTTTTTTAGAGAAAAGCGGCTTTAAAGTAAAATAAAAGTTTGTTATTTTTGGCTCTTAGGTATTATTCCTTTATTTGATAATGTTCTCGTAAAATGCAAACAATTAAAAAACAAACTTACCACTAACTGTCTCAGCGTTTCAGCTGGTGTGTGAAAGTTTATTGAACGTATTTAAAAAATCCACATATAAATATGGAACACAATTTTGATACATACATTGTTTTTGTTTTTAAAACCCACAATGCACTTTTTTGTATTTAAAGAAGGTGTTCAAAATGTCGTTCTCCACTTTCCACACAAGCTTCATTACGACGAACCTTGTTTCTTCTTACTCTAGGTCCTCGAAGTTGCCAATTTATTATTTCAGACGCATTAAATTTTTTATCGCGAAATTGTGCTTCAGTTGTTATTGGACGAGCCCTCCCTTTAGCAATTCTATGCAACTTCGGTGAGTTGTTTGAGATCATAGTTTATAATACGGCAAGTTGATGTAATCTATACAGATATTCAGAAGGCATTTGATCAAGTTGATCATTATGTACTTCTAGATAAGCTTAGGACCGTAGGTCTATCTGAGCGACTGTTGTCGCTCCTCAGTTCATACTTGATGGACATAAGGTTGTTTGTTGAATATGGTGGTTACAAGTCGAGTTATTATCAGGCCACATCTGGGGGTGCCTCAAAGATCGAATCTAGGCCCATTATTGTTCCTGATCTTTATTAACGATTTGTCTCTTGAGCTCAACTGTTTGCATTTGTTTATTTTGATTATAACGTCAACGGTCAGGTTCTAGACAGATGCTACTATTTGAAGGACCTCGGAGTAACCTTTGATAGCAGACTAATGTTTAGCGAACATATACTTAATGTCTCACCAGACTACTTGGCTTCTGTATCAGAAACTGGAAGGGGTTCTCCAATGTCAGTACTTTAATGACTTTGTTCGTTACTTTCGTTACCTAAATCCAGTTTCAATGATTTGAGGCATTCAACGTAAGGCTATTAAGTATTTTTACCTGAAATGTACTGGTTCTTATCCAGAAAGAGATTTTTGTCATCATACCCTGTTGAATTTTTTTCGATTTAGATTCACTATCAATTAGACGTATAGTCAACGCCAAACAAAGTGGCGTGCACGTCATCACGATAAAAATTCCCCGACCTAATGCCTAGGTTTCTATCACAAACAATTGCTCTATTGCAGTTTCATATTAATGTGATATATAAATTGTAAAATGGTCATTACTCTCTTATTATGGTTAATAGTCATATAAACATTGTTATTAAAATATCACATAAGTTGCTTTCTGATAAATTTAGACGCATTATGCGAAATAAAATGTTTTGCAAACGCTCCAATCACTTATCGACATGTAAACGCACTAAACCGATTTCGCAGCGTTGACACATTGTCACCTTGAAACTTATTTAAACTGGGAACTGACATTTGTATTAATTTTGACACTGAATCAATTTGTGGCATTTCAAATCTTTATAAATCCTTTGGCCCCGCATACTGTAAATCAAAAACTGTTTGATTCAAAACAAAATTATTCATTTTACGAGTAGATAAAGGCAATTTTGGTATATAAAGATGCCCAAATAGTCGGTGTAAGGAACTCGTGGCCTCGTTAATGCACTACTTTGAGCAAGAAAGGGACAACAACGGGCCTTTGTTGCCTTTAAATGCTGTTCAAGAGGTAGGTTACTAATAATTATATGTAATGTATATTAATAATAGTGAAATTTTATTTCATTTTTTGTAGCGTGTTGCTGCTGCTTTAAAAATTAGTTTATGGACAGTTAGTCGTATTTCCGAGGGTGTGAAAAGTGATGCAAATTTAGAATCGCCCAAGAAAAAGCGGAGTTATATTAAACGTGTAACCAACACAGCGACATTGGATACAAGTGCCATTCGAGAAATGATCTATAATATGTATCACAAAAGTAAGATCTTATTATAATAACTTATCAGAAATTTGCATTAATTTGTTAACTAAATTATAATGTCATATTACACATGGTTTCAGAAGAACAAGTTACGATACAAACTTTATCGTCTCGATTAAGAGATAGGGCATTATTTGATGGTAGTGCCACGTCTTTAAGGCGGTTGCTTAGAGATCTTGGATGTAAGTGGCTTAAGGACAATCCGCGACGAGGGGTCATGGAACTACCAAGTATAGCTTTGAAAAGGGTGGAATTTCTAAGGCAATACAATCAAGCCAAGGTTGAGGCCTTATACCAGTTTGTCTTCCTCGATGAAACTTGGATATTTCAGAATGGGACCATAGGTCCCTCTTGGCAAAATGGAAACCAAAAAAGCGTGAAAGCTATTAAAACAGATGGTAAAAGGTATGTACTTTTACACAATTTGCACTATAAAATTTAAAACTAATATATTTTAGATACATTATATTACATGCTGGAAGTGAAAATGGGTTTATTGAGGGTAGTGAAGCGATATTTTCTTCGAAAACAAAATTGAGCGATTACCATGGAGAGATGAACCAGGACAATTTTTTGAAATGGTTTCAACATCAGTTATTAGAAAAATTGGAGAGTCCATCTATGATTATACTGGATAACGCCCCTTATCACAGCATGATATTGAACAAAGTGCCCAACAATGCATGGACAAAAAAAAATATCCAAGACTGGTTGACAAATCAAAACATACCATTTTTAAACACAATGTTTAAAACAGAGCTATTGAGTATTGTTGCTCGGTACATAATGCTTCTTAATTATATATATATATATATATATTTTGGTCGACAGTTTATATTTCTTTTGTTTATTCCTATTCTTAAAATAACTGCTTTTTTAGAAACAAACCACCTAAAATATACGTGATTGATGAATTGGCGGAACAACATGGGCACAAAGTTCTTCGTCTGGCTCCTTACCATTGTATATTTAACCCTATTGAGTTAATTTGGGGCATAGCAAAAGGTTACTATAACAGACATATTGGTAGAGATGGTAACAGTGAAAAAGACTGTTTGGATATGTGGAACGAGGCTCTACAAACGGTTACCCCAGACATGTGGAAAAATAGTGTTCGACATACTGAGCAAGAAATTTTTAAATGGTATGAAAGAGAACGAATTTTTGATCGACCAGACATCGAACCTTTAATAATCAACTTTGAGAGTGATGAAGATTCAGATTCAGACAGCGCTGAAGAAAGAAACTCCGAGTAACTTTATTGTACAGAAAAAGCTTACACCAATAGCTTACCTAATTTTAGAATGCATTTTTCTGTATGAATTCTGTAAAATAAATACCATGCATAAAATTTGGAGGACCCCATTTGGATTTTTATTCAGTACCTTTAAGCTATCAATTAAATATGGTAGTTTCATAGTGTCATCTGATCAATAATTGTCATACTTAATGATTATGCAAGTACAGATCTATAATTTTATTATACTATTATTTTTGTTCTCATTTGAGGTTAATATTGCTTATAAACCTAGATATGTAAATAATAAATTTTATTATTTTACAAAAAGTTTGGCAACAATGTAAATTTTTCAACACACCCACCTTGATGACGTGCACGCCACTTTGTTTGGCGTTGACTATAATATGTTTGCTTTATCGTTTTTATATGGCCTTGTGCACAGTCAAATTGACTGTCCGGATTTACTTGAAAAATATATTTCCGCATTCCAAGGCTTGAAAGTCGTCAACAATCAGCCTTTTACGAGTATTGTCAAGCAGACCGGACGAACATAATGTTGAAATCTCCAATTTATGTAATGTGCAGTCTAATGAACTCTGTTTGTGATCTGTGTGATATTTCTAATGACAGATGTACATCAGTCATAAATTGCTTTAAGTCATCGATTGTTCTCTGAGCTCATTTAGGCCAATTGATGCTAAGTTTAAGTTTTCAATGTGTCTCTTTATTTTCTTTTTGTTAATGCATTTGAGCTTTTCCTGTAATTGGAAATATGAAATATAAATAAACAAACAGATGAGATCCCTGTCTTGTCTCTGTTTGACGACGCCGTACATGAGGACAGTAAACTAAAAATTGTTGCTAATTTAGCCAAAGAAAGTCCATCAGTCCACCGTAAACGTTACAACCCTTCGAAAGAAGAACTTTCTGACCTGTTTCACGGTAAGTCTGACGAATAAATTTTCTTTTTCTGCTTCGATACAATATGCTAACTGTTAAAATAAGCCAGCATTAACTGCGATCCTGGCAATAGATGGCATCTTATACAGTCTGATGATATTATACCTCAGGTAGAGGTTAGTAGCTATGCTCCGTTCGCTGTTCTGACACGAGGCCAAGCCTTGACGATGCTGATAGGTTGCCGAAAAG